AGGCTCAAGAAAAGTCAGCTGGGAGGTATCCTACAGCTGGGATCTTGGAAGAGCTGTGAGTAAGGCAGAGTAAAGAGATGGTTGGTATATCAAGGAGACACCTGAAGAAAATGGGGGAGTGTAAATTTAGGAAGTAAGTGTGAAAACACAGGCAGGCTATGAGGAGGAGATGCACGGTACCCTGAGTTGAGGACAGGAATGCATGAATACCTGTAGCACTGAGTTTGTAAGACCTTTGGGGAGCAGAGGATGAAATGGTAATTAGCTGTTCCAACTCCAGGGTCTGTAGTGATGATCCCGCAGAGAAAAATAAGAAGTCTATGCAAGCTCTGTGACAGAACAGGGAAAAAGTTTGAGTAAAGGCATATAAGACAGTAAGAGTATTGGCAGGACTCATAGCTGGAAAACAGAATGCTATAGGACTTAAGTAGGAGATCTTCTAAACTTGAGCTAATGAAATAAATTCTGAGCTAGAAACTGAATTCTCTTGTCTACAGGCTCTCCTGGGGAGCAGCAGGAGGGGATACTTGCTAGTGCAGGGTGGGTTGAGCTGTGTGTGCTGCGTAATGGCCAGGCAAGGTGCAGCCACCAAGGGCCTGGAGGTCCTGGAGGTTTTGTAGATGAGCTACGTGTGCAGATTACATGCTGTTTGTGTGTGCAGAAGGTGCTGTGTGTGGGTGTTGCCAAGGAGGGATGTGTGTGCTGCTGTTTAGAAGTGTAGCTAAGGGAGGCTCTGAAGAGAAGGGCTCTGGTTTATGGAAAGATGTATATAAGGCTTAAATATGACACGAGATCAGAGAAACCTGGGCTTGATTCATCCTTGCTTACATAAGCAAAATGAAAATAGGATTCCTGCCTTCTATCACACGCATCTAAATCTGAGATTCAGGAAGAGTCTAGCTACTTCAACTTGGCAGCAGTCAGCCCAGGATTTCAGTTTTATCTTGCTGTGTCATTAGGGAAGCGCTGGACAGGCAAGAATTTCTAGGAAGAGGAGGAAGCATTTGGCCTGCTTGTCCCAGTGACCGATGGGTGTGGGACTTACACTGTTTGCTTTCTTGTGCTCTTGCAGCCGTGCTGCACATGTGTGGTTACAGCATCTTTAGCTGAAGGACCAGCTGGAGAAAGTGGCTAGAGGGAAAGCAAACTAAGTCACAGGGGAACTGCCCAGATTTGATTTCCACTGGGTCTGAATTTGGGACTTAATTTCCTAAGCCAGGAGGGAGTTGGAGCTGCATGCACTGAACAGGTGGTGATTGTACTTCTTGCAGGCGTGCTGCGCTCTTCCTTGGTGATCTCCTCTGGGTTCTTAATAGCCAGGCCTTTTGGGCTAGAGAACAGCTGTCAGCAGCTGGAAGGAGGAGCTCTGCTTGTCTCAAGATACTCCAGGGCATCTTAGCAACAAAAATATGGAGAAATAGATGGAGGGTTGCAAAGCAATGTCTTCAAGGGAAGCACAGAAAATGTGGGGACTGAAAAAGAAAAGGGAGTAAGAATGACAGAATAATGGGAGAGCGGGTTGCCAGAGGAGAGAAAAGATGTGTGAAGTCGAAAAGACTAGGTGAAGAGACAAGGGGGGCATTCAGGAAGCAGAGTGCACGTGTGTATAAGAGCAGGACTGTGCTGGGCACAGAAGGTGCTGTTACTAGCAGGCCTGGGACTGCGTCTGGGAGAGGAGCTGCGTGTAGGAGAAGCATGGTGGTGTGTGTGTAACTGTGGAAGGGAGGCTGCTCTGAAAGCTCGGGTGTGTACAGAGCAGGGCAGGCTTCAGAGGGTCTCTGTGAGGTGACTGGGATCTGGGTTCCTGCAGCACTGAGCCCTGGAGGGTGTTATTTATAGCAGCAACCACTGAGGCAGGAAAAGTTTGCTCAAGCTGTCATTTGTGTGAGCCGGAGCTGGAGTCTAGCTTTCCCTCCCTCCTGCTCTTGCTTTCTTCAGATTTTCACTGTAATTAGCAAGCTTTACATGAGCCGGGTCAAGGCTGGCAGCTTTCTTTAGAAGACTGTTCTCCAGGCAGGAATAAGGAAAGATTTTTTTTTTTTTTTTTTTCCCCTTCTGGAAATACTTAGCCTGATCACTTGTTTTATTTCAAGGGCTATTCTCATGCACTGAGGTGGAAGCCACGGGATGGGAGGGGCAGAACCACGTTTCTTCTGAAGTTGCAGCAGCGGAAGCCAGCATCTGGACATTCAGAGTTAGGCTTTAAACTTTGAGCTCAGGAGCGATAGAAAAATCTTTTTAAGATTCTAATCTGTACTAATTTGGGTTTGTCTAGGATAAGAAAAGCATGTTAGTCAATACAAAGCTGTTCTACTGTTGTTTACCTTGAAAGCCTGTTTCCTTTAAAATCTGAAAAGCTTCCTTCTGAGTACCCAAAGTGATGGACTAAGAACAGCGGAGGGTCAGTGTACAGATACAGGTGGTTAATATCTGTGTTTCTCTGACAGGCGGTGGCAATGCTCTGTTGTCACATGCTGTAAAGCCTCTTACAGTGTGTATATGTAAGCGATATCATCCCAGTCAAGGAAATTTCCAAGCTGAAATTCGCAGTTCTCTGCTATAGGATTTTTGCAAATAGGATGTTATGTTTATACTATGTGGGGTGTGCATTAAAGGTGGTTGCTGCTGTGCTGATGCTTGTGTTGGTAAAAATACCTACCTGTGCATGTGTTCATTGAGCAACACACGCATCCTTTACCACACAAAGCTTGTTACTTTGGTGTTTGATCTCCGCTTCATTAATGCCCCAGGGAAACATTCAAGTGAAAGTGGATATGCACCATGATATGGGCATGTGGCCTGGGTTTATGCCAGGAGAAGCCCTCCTCTGGAAAGCAGCAGTCCTCTGGATGTTATATTATTAGACTTCACAAGACTTACGTGGAAAAAAATGGATTCAGGCTGTTGTGCTTTTTTGAGGTTACTTCTGTGAAGCCAGAGTTATACTGCAGAGGGGTAATGATGACAATGTAGAGTTAGGTTTCTAGATAGGATGCCATGAATATTGCTTTAGGTTCTCTTTTATTAAATATGTTTGCAAGAATAACTGATACTCCTGCTTGCAGTGTGTCCCGAAGTTAGATTAAATTTCAGAGAAGGCTCTAAGAAATGCCATGCTCTAAGAAATCCAGAGTTGTGGGCAAGAAATAGAAGAGTTTCTGTTTAATAAGGTGCAAGGCTGATGGAGGGATAAGCTGTTGGAAGTGGGAACCTGGGAAGGTTTGGGGAGCAATGGGGGAGGGCAGATGTGCATCTGCAACAAAATACAGATGTATTTTTTGAGAAATCACAGCACTTGAATATTCCCTGTTTGAAATACTGCTGCAGAATGAGGTGGGCTCCTGGAATAGTGTGTTGGTGTCTGTCTACTGGGAGTTTGATTTGAACATTGGAAGAAAATGGATTAGGGATTGGGGGAGACTGGTAGGAGAGGTGGGCTTCTAAGACTTGATGGTTTTGGAGCAACCTGTTAAATGGCAGTTGCGAAATAGGTTAACTGCATTTCTAGGACTGTTCGTGGGAGTGGAGATATAACGGGAGAACATTTGGCAAAGGGCAATTTGTTGCAAGTTAGAAGCGATCCTTAGTGGTGAATGACATGGAAAAACAGTGACAGTTTAATTGAGTCATTTCCAATAACCTAGAGAGAGTTCTTAAATTCAGATCTCATCCTGGGTGATTTAAGGACGTGACACAATACGCATGGCCTTTGGGGTGTATGACCTCCATGTCCCAATGTTTGCAGTCTGATTTCTTAGGAATGTAAGATACAGGCATGTCCTTGCCCCAAGTAACAAATATGAGGCAGAAGTGGCAATCTGAACCCAAGTAGAGGCACAAGATCAGCAGATGCATTTTAATGCAAATGTAAAAGAGACCAGAGAAGCAACAGGGGCCAAATATTTGATTAGAAACAGGGCTGTCAGCCCAGGGTTCTATGATCAGGGACATGATTGAGGGAAATGGCTGAAATAAACAGACAGCACCAGTAAAATGAGAACAGATTGTATCTGAGTTAAGGTTTAGACTGTTTGAAGCCAATTTCCAATGTAGTTGAGCCTGGCAGTTTCACAGAGTTGGCATCCACATTTAATAATTACAAATTGTATTAACAAAAGGTGCGTTAGGGTTTAGTTTACCAAAGAGCTTGCTACATTGCAGTGATTCTCAGCATTTTTGACTTGGAACCAGGCACAGACCTGCCTAATGACTTAGTAATGGCATGTGAGGAAAGGAAAAATCACAGAGTAAGTTGGGAAGCACAAAAAGAAGCGTGATCTGTGAACAGGGGGTTGCGGTGTGGAGTGAGGAACTAAAGGCCCTGAAATTTTTCATGTGCCCCTGTTAGTCCTGATTATATCCCCTTCAGTGCTGGGGGGGAGGGAGAAGAGGCACTGTTTAATTCCTTAGCACCTTCCCCATCCAGAGACACCTTCCCTTCCTGTATCAAGCTGTCTTTGGATGTGAACAGAGTCAGCGTTTCCTCTTTCTGTCCTGGCACTTGCACGTGGAGGAAACTGCTCCACAGTAATTCCCGTCACGAACGGGTGTGCTTCTGCTCGCCAGCACGCTTTTTGGGGAGGGGAGCAGGGAAGGACTGCCAAGGAGTGGTGGTGACCGCACAGTTTTCCCGAGTTTGGCACTGATTTTCTGTTCTCCCACTTCTTTCGCTCTTCTCGTATTGGCAGCAGTGGTCCCTTTAGCTCCCGTAGAATGACTGGTGGCTTTCCCTGCATGTGACTCATCCTCTAGGGAATTCCTGAAGCAATGAGTCAAGTTATTGGGAAAACTGTTTGCCCACTAGCATAAACTAGGAAGCCAGGGAGCCTGCCTATGGTATCGTAGAGAGGCAATTACTTTTCAGCGTGACTGGGATTGTCCTCTCTGTTTCTAAAGGCAGGTCACTTCAAGAATAGCTGTAGCAGCCATACATCGCTGAATATATTTATTTTCACCTTGAAATATGCTGCTCCTGATTTTTTTTTTCCTGTTTTTTTAAGGTGGCTGATCTGATAAGCATTCCAGGGTGGAGTAAAACTGACAGATTTGAATTTGCCAGTATTGTAGTGAAAAATAGCTTGCCTAAAGAAATGAGGCTGTCAGATTGGCACCAGTCAGCTACATCTGAAACACTCCTTTCGTAAGTACCATTTACCACTTCATTCTGCCCTGGCTGACTTAATCCAGCCCTTGTTATTTTTACTATGGATGAATTAACGGTTGTGTGGTTTACAACCATGAATTAACAAATTTTGAATATAGCCGTGGGATATTACAACAAAACCAAAGAACTTTGATCCCCAATAATTGTGCTCAGGAAGAATTAACTATTCTACCACATATGTGAGTGTGGGTTGACCAGGATTGTTTGCATTGCCTGCAGATAGGAGCCAGATTTGGGGTGCCCAGCTGCTCAGAATTTTTCAAATCGAGGTGCTTGCTGTATCTACAGACTTAGGTCAACTCATCCAAATGTTCTTTCCACGTTCTTTCCCTGCCCCATTCAAGACAAGCTTGTCTTGTCACTGGTTGCTGAGTATTAAACAGCAGATTTTATTACCCTGTAGAACAGTAAGTTCTAATTAAAATACAAAATTAGTTTCACTTTTTAATACATTTTTTTCCCCCTAGCAACTTGGACATTATTTTTGCTCAAGCTTGGAATCGTCAGAAAGCTCAGATTGTGGGCTTTGCTAGCACAAAATGTAGGTGGTTGCAGATATGTCGGCATTGATACAACGATTGGGTGTTGTTTTTTAACTAAATTAGTGTCAGCAGACTTGGATTGTGCTCCTTCTCCACTCCCAGGTTTTCAATAAAGTGGCTCATTTTAAGGTAAGTTTATCTGTCAACTTCTGTTGTTTCTTGACCAGTTATTCATGAAGACTTAATTTTCTGTAGTCTGACAAGTATGAAGCTTGGAGTTAAATTGCGCTCCTACTGAGGTCAAGGAGAAAAGCACTGATAATCTTGGAGCTCTAGGGTGAGGCTTTTTTCATCTTTCGGAACATTATTCTTCCTTTAATTTGGGCAGTTGAAATGTTTCACACCGATCACTGTCTTTTATATTCTAAAATAAAAGTGCTCTTAAGAGGAGGATTGTGCTTACCCATTGCAGACTTCTTCCTTTGTCCCCATGGACAAATCCCAGCCTCTAGGCTATCCCACCTGGAAACAAAAAAGGGGAGGGAGACTTCAGATCCTGCTAGTTTGTTTTCCTGTTTATCTACCCATCTTGGCGCAACTAAGGCAGGTGGCACCTTGGCAGAGCTACCTGCTAAGTGCACTTGCTGGAAAAGGGCTCGTGAGAGGGGTGCTGAGTGTTCTGCCAGGATAGCTGTGTTCAGCCTGGGTGTCCTGACATGGGCGATGTTGGGGGAATCACCTCCCAGAGGGAACCATTGTGATCTACAGTGTCACTGGTTTGTAGGACCATGATGCCTGGGAACAGGCTCTGAACTGGTACCAGTTGATTAGAGGAGGAATATTTCAAAGTAGCGAATTTCTTTGGTTTTAATTCAGTGGATCCTTTATCCTCCTAACTGGTGGTTGTAAAGTTCTGAATAAGTGCTGTGAATAATAGTGGTTTTGTATCATTAACTCTACTTAGCACGTCTCCGTACTCTTGCACTAAATCCAATATTTTTTTCCTGAAAACACCACTGCTGTGGACAAATACATACCAAGCAGTTACATTGGTTGTTCTGGTGTCTTTTATAATAAAAAGTAATTGTTCAGAAAATGTATTCAGCTTTGCAAAGAACAGCTTTATTCCTGAAGGCAGCGATGCTATGGCTGGCCAGCCCTCCAGAAGCAAATGAGGCGCTGTCACAGGCTAAAGGTGAGAATTTTATCTGGTTTCCCCATTTGCCTGTGACTCCATTGAATAAAGGAAAATGGATGTTGCCAACTTACAGTGCATTTGTTGTTTTTTTCATAAATGATTATGTTCTCTCATGTTGTTGGACAGGGAAAAGGCACTAATCCTTGCAGTGGCAGAAAAATGCTTGAAAATTTGAACCCTTGGTGTGCAGACCCCCAAAATGAAATATTTTAAGGGTAGCGTTTCTTTAAAAATACTTGTGAATTTTGACCTCGGTTAATGGCTCAGACTACCTGGCATTACCTATACTACTGCTCAAAAGCAGGTGATATGTCAGCGTTGGGCCCTTTGTGGTGTGTTGTGCACAGCATTGTTCTATAGGAAAATAACCAGTTTGGAGCAAATAGCAAATCTGATACTAAATCTTCTGCGTTAGTAGAACGGTTTTGAGAGCTGATTTTTTTTTTTTTTTTTCTTGTGAGAGAAAAGAGGCCATTTAAGAAAAATTCTAAGAGGCTTTTGAAATTCGACAGTATAAATGGTAAGGCTGCGAGGTTCAAGAATGTAGCAGATGTTGTCTGTGTTTGAAGGTAGTGTGGGACTCATGAGAGCTATTTCTACCCAAGGCAAGAGGTGTTTGGAGTAAGGGACAAAGGGGATGGATTTATCAAGGAGCACATGATCTTAGAAGACATTAATGTGTTTATGCTGCCTGAGACAAAAGGGCTTTAAAGAAACATTAGGGAGGAATAAGCCGAAAGGGAGGTGGGCCAGTGTTGGGCCAACTGGCCAGTAGTCTGTTCTTGTTACTACCACCATATTGTGGCCATCACCATTGCACTTCCAAGGGTGTATTTATGCCAGCATTTATGATTTCAGCTGGTGGGATGTCCAGGTAAGTACTTGGCCCCTGGGTTTTGAAGGCCAGTTTGTACTCTGAGATGTATTTTGGCTATTTTTGTCAGTGGGCACTATTGTTCCAGATCTAACCTAATCATATTAGTTCTGTAATGATGACATTGTAGTGAGATGATTGTGGTGCAGTGGCCTTATCCTGGGGGAGCTGCAGCTGAAATGTGCTAAGCCACAGGAGGCTTTTTGAACCTTCCCTTTCTCAAACCCAAAGGCTTAGTCCCACTGCTCTGGCACTGTCTTTCATTTTGTTTCCTTCTCCTTGTAAAATGGGAGACTATAAAGGAGAATCTTAAAAGTAGGTGTGAAATTGGTATTCCAAAATTAAAGAACCCATTGATTTTTACCAGTGTTGTCTGGCTAGGCTTAATGGTCTGTGGCTTGGTTGTAAATATGGCTCTTAGATTTTACATTAATGCATACAATATTCTTTAAAATACAGATCTGTTCCCTTAATCATAGCCAGTCATGCTAGAACTATCCTCACAACCTTCTGGCAGCTGCTGTACCATCTCCCCTCAGGGAGGGAGCTTTTGCTGCAATTCCAGCAAACATCGCTTGCAGTAGAGACCACCTGCCACTTGCAAAAGGCAGCTCTGTCTTCGGAAGGGCTCATCTTCCTTTGGTGCTGTGTCACTTCTCCCCACCTTGTATTGTGAGCCTTTGTTCCACACTCTTTGTGTTGAGTAGGTATTCCTCCCTCTTGTAAGATGCTCCTAGATATTCCCAACCTGGAAGGGCACTTTTTTGAAGGTTTAGGTATTTTTTTTCTGTCCTACACAATTATTTCTGATGTTTTCTTGGTAATGGTTGTTATAGGTAAATTGTGCAGGAGATAGACAGCAGCAGACCTTGCAGTCTGGCTCATATTGCCCACTGGGTCCTGCAAGAGGTGCTGGAGGAGAGATAGGTTTGTATTTCTGCAGACACAGGCAAGTTATTGCCTCCTAGCCAGCTTCAGGATGTTTTGTATGGATGTAACCACATCCCCCCTTCTCCCTGCAAGGGAAGAACAATTCCCAGATTGTGAAGAACCAAGCTCAGAAACAGAAAGAGCTCCATTTAAGGCCCTTAAATATAGCTGGATGAGGACCAATGAAGTTTGATCCAAGTTCTAATTGATGATTTCCATCAAGTACAGTAGGCGCTTCTAGAAAGACATGCTTAATGGGAACAGGAGGTTTTGTAAGCTGCAGGGGTAGGGACCCAATCTGGAGTAGAAGGCCCATGTCCCACGTGGGCCATGCTTGTGAGGAAAGGATGGATATGGGGTTCAGGTAGGGGGTGACTTGATGGGGTTGGGACCCTATCTGGTGGTGAAGTGTGATTTCAGGGGGAGAGTTTGTATTTTATGAATCAGCAGAGGTTCAAGGGTCAGGAGCTGTATGGTTAAGCATGCCAAATGTTTTTTATTTGGTCATCCAAATTTGACAAACATACTTATTCTAAAATACTGTTGCTTTTTTAGTTTGCTTCAGCATAAACACTTTTTATATGTGCAAGAAGTATGGAGAGCTTCAATAGCTCTAATAAATAACTGCAGAAAGAAGAAATGCAGGTGTACCAGCAAGGGATAGAATGTGGGTCTGCTTGGTGATGGAGGTTGTGCTGTGCTGTGGAGGAGCACTTGGCATCTTGTGTGGTAGGAGGCAGAAAGCAGTTCTAGAGGACCCAGCTGGGTGGAGTTAATCTGGTGCTGTTCAGACACTGTCCTGGGCCTCCCTTGGGTGGCTCTTGAGGCTTACTGTGGAGATGCCCCAATTGTATTCCAGGGGAGCTCTAGCCAGGCTGCTGCACCCTCAGGACAGGTGTCTGGATACCTGGGCAGGGTGACCTGGTTGTGCTGTCAGGGGGAAGGGAAGGTGCCTCTGCTGTGGCAGCACAGGCAAGCGGAGGCACAGAAAACAACCCCCCAGGAAATGCTGCTGTTTGAGCCGCCGTGACACAAAGCTTGTTCTGTTTCAGTTTTCCAGATGGATTTTCCTAAGCAGCTCTAGCTCTGGATCTGTGCGAGCTGGCAGTCCTGGGCTGTGACTTCTCAGCAGGACAGAAGGTTGGGGCTGGGACATTCCCTGGGAACACGGTGGCACTTCATCCAGTACTGTGGGAGCGTGTCCCTGGGAAGGGCCAGTGTGCCAGCACATGTGGCTGGATTTCTGCGTGACAGCAAGGGGCTTTGTCTTGTAGTGACTCCTGCAACCATCTACAGAGCTGAGACCTAGAAATCTCCTTTTTTTTGGGCTTCCTGTAGCACTGAAGATGAAAGTCTTGTCTCTGGGCTTTGAACAGTTGTTATTTTGAGGCAGTTTGGGTGAATAATACTGTAGGACTTCAGAGTTGAGGCACAATTTGGGGAGACCAGCTGAAAGAGGGTGATGACAGATATGAAGCACAGATGAGATGGGATTGCTTTCTCATAACTGGGTCGCATGAAGTTGCAAGCAGGTCCCCATCTCAAGCTGGGAGCAAAGGTGGGTGATGAATCTATCGGGCTAGTAGGACTTACTCCTGCAAATGCCTCTGCACAGACATCGCCAGTGGTCTGTCAAAGTAAGAAGAAACTGTTGGCACTGGTGAATCCGATTTCACAGTGGTGTTGGCCTCCTATCTTTTGTTGGACAGAAATAGCAAGTTATGGTCTGAACTGCAGCAAGGTTGAGTGGGTCCCAGGAGGAGGTTTTTGGGTGATGGAGGGGGGGGATGCTGAGTGAGCCTGCAAGCCCTTTTTTGGATCCAGGGATGAGGCTTTGCAGGGGTTTTGTGTGTTGGGCTGTGTGGGTGCAAGTGCCTCGGGTATCTGTGTGATGCTGCAAGCTTAAAGCAAATCTGCTTGTGGATTTGGGTGGTGGGGAGTAGCTGATTGTCTCCCGGGGTGTTGGCGTGGTGTGGGTGGTCTCCTGTGGTGCAAGATCTACTCACAGTCCTTTTCCTTCAGCTATAGCTGTGGTCGGCTTATATTTACGTGTATACCTTCTTCTGAGGCTAATGTCAGATGTGATGGGATGTTGGATTAGACTAAATCTCCTAGGTTTAGCTGGAATGTTGTCTTGCTGTAGCATTTTTCTCCCTTGCTCTTTTCTCTAAGCCTTCCCCTACAGACAGCTAATTCTCCCCTTCCCCCACATCCTGTCATACCCCAGAGTATGTCACAAGGAATTAACGGCTGAAAAGGCCCGGGAGACTGCTCCTCTGGAACAGTCTCTCCTTTCTGTGACTGGGGTGGCCCCTCTCTGTGCCCCTTTTGTGTCCCATCCAATTCCCATCCCCCTGGCCATTCAGTACATGCCAGAGGAGAGACCAGCGGCCCTGAGCCTTTCCCAGCCCTGATGCCATCCGCTGCAGCCGAAGGGCTTCCCCTGCACAACTGGGACTCTGAGACAAGCCCGAACAGCTACTGCAGTGCTCTCGGTGCTGCCGGCTCCTCTGTGGCAAGAGGGAGGAGGTTTGTGCTGCTGCAATTGCTGCCGGAGAGCTTTCCTTCTCTCCTGTCTCTGTGCATCTCTGACAGCATCGCCTGCTCTCACTCCCAGTCCTCCTTCCCACAATTCACATACAATCTCCTCAGAATAGGGATGATGTCACTTCCTTCCAGAGAGTGCTGGGGGTGTGGAAGGGGGGAGTCACGACCCCTGTCTCGGTGGCTTTCAGCAGCCCTGATGAATAAATGAGGCTGCTGTCTTGGAAGGAGGGAGTTGCTCTGAAGATGATGCGGGGCTCTGTCGGCAGGCAGTCACCACACTGTCCTTCCCTCTGCCGGGTGGGAATTTCAATGGCTGCAAGAAGAGTTTGCTGCTCCTTCCTTCTCTTCTGATGTCTGTCTCTGTGGATATGCACTTTTCCTGAAATACCTTTACGGGAGAGAAGAAAGTACAGCAGCTGGACCACATGCCATGTAAGATTTCTGCTTCCATAGATCTTTCTCTGATCTGAGGGTGAAGGGCTCTGGACTTTTGGCACACAAAGCTTGTTCCCTGCATGTGCTTCCCCCTAATTTCAGGGTTGAGAGCTTGGGATTTCTTGTACTGGGGTTCAGGTTTCAAGGTCCTGGGAATTTTTCACTTTTTGCAGCAATTTTAGGGGCAGTGCAAGGGATTCTTGTTGCAAAACTAGGGTCAGTGGTCTCAGGACTGTTTGCACTCTGACCTTCTGCTTTCCTCACAGTTCCCCTGCTAGAGCATATCTTCATATTAAAATGTAGTTCCTGGGATGAAGCCAAAGAGTCCGCACACGGAGAGCTTTAGTGTGGGTTTTTTTTTGTGTGGGCTTTACAGTCTCGGGCCTTCTGTAATCTCCTTTCTTTCCCAATTGGGGGCAAGGCCCCAGCCCTCATGGTTTAGATTTTCAATAGACAGTTTTTGAGAATTAATTGAGACTCTTTCTGTGGTGCACCGGGAGCCTGGTAAGCATACAGCTAGGAGTGACAGTCCCCCAGTGAGTATTCTCGTGTGTGACAGTGAGTGACAGGCTGCTCTGCTCCATCCCCATCTGTTGCTGTGGATAAGAAATTCACATTAGATGTTTGCTGCTCTTGCCGATACCCTGCCTCTTAAACTGGCAGAGGGTGGTGAAAGCAGGCAGAGCACAACTGCTCGCGTCTGGAGAGGTGGAAGAGTTGTGGAAAGTGCGTTGGCGGGATGCAGCCGTAGGCCGAGGGATGCTGGGAACTGAGGTCTAGAGCTTGGCTGGGAGGTGCTGCGGTGGCCAGAGGCAGAGTGGATGAACGTGGAAAGTGTATCCACGTCCCCTGAGCAGGGTTAGAGATGTTCAGGATAGAAGCCCTTCGTTATGGGTGGTGTGTGGCAGGCAGGCAGGTTGTTCATGGCAAGGCTAGAAGGAGTTGCCAGATGGCCAGAGGAGTGAGCAGTTTGAAGGTAGAGCTGCAATGTACCCAGTGCTCTGATTATTATGTGCTAAGGAAGTGTGAATCCAAATGGTGTTGTAATTTCACATTTGCTTTGTTTGTGGAATAGAGTGTTTCCTTCACCCAAGTGAGTAACGGACTCGAAGTGTGTCAGCCTGTTAACTATGGAATCTCCCAGAAAGTGTGAAAGATTTGTGTAGGTTTTCAATACATGGTGACTCAAATGGGTAGGAAGGTCTAGTCCACTGGCCGTGGGTGTTGATACGGGGGGGAGACTCCTCTGTTTTGAGATGTTCTGCGTAGCAGGTAAGGGATGGGGTAACCACACCTGACTAGTGAGGAGGTTTAGTAGGACAAGGCCAGCTTTTGTTACTGCAGCAGTCAGTGCTGTGATGGTTTTGTGACCGACCGCAGCCTAACACTTATGTTACTTTTGAAGCTTCAAACTAGTTTGTATGTGATCATGTTGCTCCTTTTTTTTTTTTTTTTTACCCAGAGCACTAAATTCAGGACATCATATACAATCTTGATTAGTTTTTTTTCTTTTGCCTGGTGCATGAGGTATGGCAGATGATATTCCCTCTGAAACGCTGTTGGAAATCCTGATTACATTGTAAGTAACTAATGTGGATAGTTTGCTGTTATGCTCAGAGGCAACAATCAAATTGCCAGATTGGTACAAAGAGCAGTTATTACTTTGAAGATGGGGCTTTGGAGTGGCGTGGTCACTGCAGGTCGTGGATGGAGCGCTCTGGCTGCAGTGTGTGAACATGAATACTGGGAGGTTAGTGGGCTGGAATAGAAATGCTGTGACTTAGAACTGAGATGCATCAGTTGGGAGAACTTGGCACTCTGGAGATGGTGGCTTGGAGTGGAGAGGCACAGGCCAAGGTGCAGTGTCCCCCAGTCTGTGGTAGCACAGGAGGGTACTGGTAAGGAGTGGGATGGGGTTTAGGGCACGGAAGAGAGGGAGAGGACTGATTGCAGGGGGCAGACCACATAGACATGATTTCAGAAACCAAAGTTTGACAAAACCAAACAGGATGACATGGGTCGTGGTTGTAGAAGAAATGCAGGAGGGAGATGGGGTGTGCCGCTCTGATGCAGTGGACTTGGACTGGAGCTGGCTGGAGTATGTACAGCAGATCTGAAATGGTGTGGGAGAGCTGTGCTGGGAGGAGGTGTCTGGATAGCCCTGTGAAGTCTCGTGACTTATACCACTGCTGTTTCTTTTTTTAAAGGGTTTGTGAAGCTTTAAAAATAGGAGTACAAACAAAATGTGGGGAGGAACAGCCAGCTCCTCAATCTTTGACCTTTTAATTGTTAGTGCCTGTCAGGGCCAGTGTGAACACAAAGGAGATGTGGAGCTGGCAGGGTGCTTCTGTGCAAGTGATGCTCAAGTAAGAGATCTCCTAGGAGCTTGCTCCCTAGCTCTGAGTGCTTGCTGTTGGGAGCCAGTCAATAGCTTCCCCAGATGCTGCCACTAACTGCTAATGGGTATTTTGGCTTCCTGAGCCAAGTGAGGGAGGGAACAGTTGGACAACAAGAGAAGAGGCTGGCAGGAGGTGTGCCTGTGGAAGAACATGCTAATAAGGCCTTTCTGTAGAGTTGAGGCCCGTGTAACCTGTCCAAAACGCACCAAAACAGTGGCCGTTTGCCAACATGCAGCACTAACAGGATTCCAGGTAATCTTGTGAAGTGGAGCTGGTGATTATGTTCAGTGAGTTATGCACCAGCTTCACCTGATACTTCCCCCTCTTCAAAGTACATTCCTCTCCTGTCCTGCTAGAGCATGCCATGCCCCCTGGTGCTGGAAGGAAGAAGCTCTGTCATCTTTGGTGTAAAACCTGTAGCCCTCAGGTGCAGCCCTCTGGTGTGGGGTTCTCTGGAGGGGGTTGAAGGGGGTCAGCAGCATCTTTGAGTCTGTTCTTTTCCAGGAGGTGAGCGTCGTCCCTGCTGAACTTCCTCAGACCCGCTAGCCATGCCAGGGATTGTCGTGTTCCGCCGTCGCTGGTCTGTAGGCAGCGATGACCTGGTTTTGCCAGCCGTCTTCCTCTTCCTCCTGCATACCACCTGGTAAGTGAGAAAGGCAGAATGATGGTTTGTATTCTCCCATGAATTCTTTTTGCTATTCCTGTTTCTTGCAGCTGTAATTCTTCCTGCGCTTATACATGCGGCTGGAAGGCTTGTTTGGGGCATTTCTGACAGACACCAACATATTTACAGCTTCTGGTTCTTTGGAGAAGTTCTGTTCTCATTTCTAGTTCCAGTTCCAAAGAGAGCCTGACCAGAGCTCCCCACATCCTCCAGTGCTACCCAAGGTTGTCCACTGGAGTTTGGGGCTGTACAGGGGCTCAGGGAAAAACAATTGGAGTGGCAATCCCGTGGGATAATATGACTTGCCACAGATCATCAAATTGTTCTGACTGGGGTAGCAGGGCCTCTGGATGGCTTGTGGGGAGGAGATTTCTGGCCCAAATTCATATTAATTGTAAGTAGCTGCGGGGATGCTGAGGATCCTCAGTAGCTTTGAGGAGACCAGGTGTGGGATGTTACATGCAGCTTTCTTTGGCTTACTGCTGGTAACAAGCTGGTTTGTGACTGGCAGGTTTGTGATCCTCTCTGTGGTGCTCTTTGGGCTGGTGTACAACCCCAACGAGACCTGCTCGCTTAACCTGGTGGACCACGGCAGAGGCTACCTGGGCATCCTGCTCAGTTGTATGATCGCAGAGGTGGCAATCATCTGGCTCAGCATGCGAGGCAGTATCCTGTACACAGAGCCCCGGGACTCGATGCAGTATGTGCTCTATGTCAGACTGGGTAAGAGGCAGCGGCCTGAGGCCTCCTAATGACTCAGCCTCCACACTGCCATCTGCTAGCGCAGAAGACTTCTCTCCCCACACCCTGACAAACACACAGCTTCTGAAAGACATCCAGATGGCCACTTGTATGTGATATGCATCTGAATACATCACATATACTGCACCCTGTCATTGCTGTAAGACTCTCATGCAATGCCCCAAATATCTTTCTAGCAAACCTTTAACTTGTCATCCTCATTGCGATGCAGGTACATCCCTTTCCTCTAACAAAATATGCTCCCTTTCTGTCTCGCAACACAGATCTGCCAGTGAGATGCATCTACACCTCTCCCCCACCTTTTTTCCCCACGTTTTCCTACAATACAGGCATATGTCAGTGTAAATTGTGGGGGTTCTGACCCCGAGGCATGTGCGTGTCCTTGCCTGTCATAAGGACACTTATGTCTACACCCACCTGCTCTGAGACATGTACTTGACCTCTTGGCTCACGTGTGATGCATCTCTCCAGCAACCTGCACTTCAGTACTCCACCTTCAGGCAGATGTTGCTGTCCACTCCACCTGATAAATAGGTTTACCACCTGCTCACTGGTTGTGTCCTCTCTTAGAGTGCATATTTGTCTTCCTGAAAACATTTCCTTTCTCACTTACCCAGTAAGAACTAGACCAGAAAGGCGATTGTTCCTTGATCTCTCATTCAGGGCTTCCCTTTTAGCTTGTCTTCCCTTGTCTGTTACATTGTCTTCTGGGTACAGCATTTTTTTCTGTGTTGAGTGAAGATTTTAATAGGAAAAACCCTTTGGAGATGCAGAGTCAAGCTCATTTAAAACAAAGTTTCTCATGTTTTTGCTGCTCTGTTTTGTCTGGATTGTTTTCATGCAGAATTCGCTAAGGTACTGGTAACCTTGCTTGAAAGCTCTGTCTGGGAGACATTTCAGCCTTTTGAGTGCTAAGTGCAAATCATTAACATGAATAGCAAACAAATCTCTCTCTCCAGTTTCCCAGACACACTGCAGTCTCCCTAGGGAAGCACATAGTCTGACAGTTTGAGAAGCACCATGTTAAAACCAGACTAAATGGGGCAGGGGAAGTAGAGAGAATCCAAAGAGCCATTTTCCTACCCAAGAATTGTCCACTTTTCTTCCTTGTCTGCCTTAAACTATACGTGTGTTCAGAATCTGTATTTACACTGTATGTTGGGTCCTCTATATACTTGTTTCATGGGGCTTTTTACTTTTAATGGCTTCATGAGTTCTGATGATAGAAACAGGAGTGTGACCACTGTGTGGGCAAGGTCCATGTGACTGTCCCATTTTAAGCATTTGCTGTTTAGTGCAGATGAATCTGGGGAAAGAGTTCCAATAGGAACCCAGAAAAGTCTCATCTGTGCTACTGTAGCTCCTGTCTTGCAGCAGGTAATCTGAGGGGAGACAAGCCAAGGTAGGCAAAGCCTGGCTCGGTTTAAGAACATAGTTTGGGCTGATCAGGGACCAGGATCAGCCTGTTCCTTGCCCGCTGCTGGTGAAAGGTTTGCTGTGTGTCTCTTTGAACTGGTCTTTCCAGGCTTGTGAGAGTCTGTAGTGAGCCACTTACGGAAAGATACGGGGCCAACCTGTAGATAAGGTGGGTGGATGGTGAGGCGGCTAGGCTTGAACGTGGGTTTAGCCTCAGCTTCACCAAAGGCTTGCTGGGCATTACTAAACAAGCTATTTACCTGCTCCATACCTGCTTGGTCACATGTACTTTTGGGTTGTACTGTGTAGAGAAAGTGTGAGGATGGGCACTTCAGAGTTTTCCAACTTTTTTTGTTCTGGGGAGCCATTGTTAATCCCCAGTTTCTTGTTCATTACCAGGGTAATGTGCAAGACTGAGGAGCCAGTAAATGACTCCTTAAGGACCATGTCCTGGAAATTATTACTGGAAGGACTCCAAAGCGCAGAGGTACTGGGAACATTTGCTAAGTGTAGTAAGCAGAATTAATCCTTGATACACACTACTATTTATTTCATATCTGTTTGAGGTAGTTGAGACCTAGGTACTGTTACATGCTGATTCTGGCTACCTAAGGGAGCCTTTCCACTGTCCTGGATGGAAGGAAAGGTGATGATCTGATTCCCAGCTCTGATACAGCCAAGGGCACTGACAGCTCAGTGTGTGTGTGGTCCTCGTGTTATTTAGGAGTAGTTAGTGTTAAGAACACATTACATTTCTCTGTTCATTTCCTCAAATATCACCTTCCAAACCATTGGGGCCCAGTCCTGCAATCACTTATTCTGTGCAACTGTCCTGCTAAAGAGCCTGTCTTGGGGTTTCATCTCCAGAAGATGGGGAGAAGCAGTCGTTAATCCTTAGAGAGACGCTGCTACTATCCACTGTGTTCCTTTTGTTTCAGCTATCTTGGTGATTGAGTTTGTGTATGCTATTGTGGGCATCGTTTGGCTAACGCAGTACTACGCTTCCTGCAATGATATCACAGCAAAGAGTGTCACTTTGGGTACGTATTTGGAATGGGGTTTGTGTGCATTCCTGTGTACACGCAGACGTCCTCTTGCCTTGGAGAGTTTATTCATTCATGCATGTGGGGATTGAGTGTTGGAAGTGGATTGTAGCTCTAAATGTGGTGCTTGTTTTCCTGCGACATTATTGCTCAGAACAGTTGTTCTATTCATTTGTTTGTGCTGTCTGCGCTGAGGCAAGAATTCATGTTCCCATGGAAGGGTCTGGCTGGGGAGTCTGTAAGACCTGCTTCTCCTTCAGTTCAAAATGGCTTTACTGTTTTCTGGGAACTCCTTTTCAGCCTCAGCCAGTCTCCTGGGGGGAGTGATGCTAATGTCGCAGTCCACCTAGATACTTAGTATTTAACAGCTTTCCGCATGGACAGTCTCCTAAAACAGCTGCAAAAATCTAGCTGTGGTTTAGAAACCTTTCCAGAGGATTTCCTTTTGCTGCAGCTGGCTGCAAGAGTATTTGGGTAACTTCTTCTGCCCTGCAGCAATTGAGAGGTGGGTCTGATGCTTGTGGTGAAAAGCAGGAAGCGATGCTGCCAAGACTTACAGGCAGAGCACCCGACTTCTCTTTTCTTTGCAGGAATGGTGGTGTGCAACTGGGTTGTCATCCTGAGCGTCTGCATCACTGTCCTGTGCGTCTTCGACCCGACAGGCCGGACCTTTGTCAAACTGCGTGCCACGAAGCGCAGACAGCGCAACCTGAGGACATACAACCTGCGGTAAAGCAGTGTTTCTGGAAGGGTGCCCTGCTTTTTATTTTATTTTTTTAGTTCTTGACATTCTCCTTGCCTTGCTTCAGGGAGCATTCGGCTTCAGGCTTCCCTTTGGTGAGAGTGGTTTTGGGAGAATGCAGATCAGGCTGCACATGCTGGGTGTGGGCATCTGTAGCCAAAGGAGGAGAAGCAATGGGATACTTGGCTGGATTGTGCGTTAGTCACTGGATTTGTGGATCCTTATGAGCCCCTTGGGCCAGTGTTGACCACAACAACAGCTTGTTTTCCTGTCCTGTACCAGTGTTTTGCCTGGTAACAGTGAGGAAGTGCTTAATTTTGCTTAGGTTGAAGCAGCATCTTCTTCCAAAGCCTCTTTCTTCCTTTATTTCTGTTTTCAACATAAGACCTTTTGGCCTGAGGTTTCTTGCATTTGGTCTTGGCCAAGAAGCAATTTCTTTTGTGTTGGCAGTCACATCTTTTAATTAAGAATTGATTACATTTTTGAGCTACTCAGATGGGGGTATGAAAGCTTTTTTCACCAAGCAAGGCATTTTTCAGAAGTTTTTTTCCAGTAGCAGGACAACACAAACAGGCTTTGTTTTCTTAGGCAGTCTTGACATATGTAACTGTCAGCAAGGAATGTGGCTTTGTAGGACTTGAGGGCATTAGGTTTTGAATGCTAAAAAATGAGACTTTCAAAAATACTCTGCAGATTTTGCATTTCTCACAAAGAATGTATATTGAAGAGAGTGCTTTGAATACATGCTTTTCCAGTGTCTTGAAAGGGAATCCTTCAGGTGGTTGTCTTGAGGAAAAAACAGTTTTCTGAGGACCACGCAAGCAACTTTTGTTTGAGGGAGCTCAATGCAAGACATTCTTCTTACCCTTGCCAGTCTGTTAATAACACTAACCTTGAATATTTGGAGTTAGCACCCCGGTAGCCTAACGTATTCGATCACTGTGTGGTCATCAGGACATTCCCAGGGAGATGGGGGTGAGAGGTGGTGATGCTGCTGTGTATCTCGTACCCCACACTCCATGAAAGCTGGCTGGCTCAGCATGTTATTATTGGGAAACTGAGTGCCACAGATTGCAAAGTTTTTTGCCATAAAACTTAAATGTAAATCAAAACACAACACCCCCCCCCCCCAAATT